TGCAATCCAGCAGCATTCGGAAGCCTGTATAATTCCTACCCTGATCTATTGAGTAGCTATGTGGGTACACTTACCTACAAAGCTTATAACCTTTCTCCAGCAGCTCACTATGTATATAGAGAAAGAAGGAGAGAGAAAGTGATGCCAGAGATGTGGGCTCACTGCTAGCTTTCACCCTGCTTACCACCTGCTCTACCTTTTAGGGGACTCAGCCCTTGACTGAAAAAAATCATGATCAGCTGGTGTTGTAAATGCAGATCTTGGAAGATTTATTACTTTTTACACTATAATTCCATTAATCCTCCAGCCAGAATGCACAGTAGCCACAATGACTAGGGGATTCTAGGAACTTTAACTCAGCAAATTAACTTTTTGAAGTTCTAACTTTTCTAAGGTAGACAATTGTTGTGCTGTATACATTTTATTGGTTTGTACTTTTAATACCTTATATTTAATTTATTACTGTTTTAACTCTTAGAATTGTTTAATTGGGTTTTAAATTTTATATTTATATATATTTAATATTGTTGTACTGTTTCTAAATTGTATTGTTCTATACTTGTTTGCTACCTTGAGTCCCTATATTGGGAGAAAGGCGGGATATAAGATATTATTATTATTAATAATAATAATAATAATAATAATAATAATAATAATAATTTTAAAAAATGTAGAATTGCATCAGCATTTTACCACTGTGCCCATTGTGCTATCAAAGACACTGGCTATAAAATGGCCATGCCCCCATATCACCCTCCTTTGCTCCCCTTAATATAGAATTAGTTAGTCTCTAATATATAATGTACAGCCTGCCTGTGCCTTACGCAGGCTCTGCATGGTTTAATGGCGCGCATGCAGTGCCGCACACAGAAGCACACAGCCATTAACAACAATGGGACTTGAGGTCCTGTTTCTTTTTGCATACACAGGGGCCCAGAATGGATCCCACACATATACAAAGGGCCCAGTGTATTAAAATTTAAATATTTTAATGTGGCTGTGTTACATAATCCATTATTAAAAATACTAACGCTTCTTTACATATTTAACAATTCATGCCAGATTTCCCTATGGATTCTAATAATGGCAACTGTAGAGGAAGCAGCGCTGGTGAGTACAAATTTATCTGATAAATTTATCATCCCTTTCCTCCTCCTCCTCCTCCTCTTCTTCCTCCTCCTCTGTTGAAACCAGTTCCTAACAAAACAAAAGTAATATGATGCTAGTATGTTGTTGTTTTTTATGTATGAGAAGAGAATTGCCCAGGGAACAAGAGATGTAAGCAGGGCCATTAGGCTAAAAAAGTTGACTGATCTTGAGTGTCATGGCGGCAGAATTTTGCTGATCATGTCATTTATTAAGTTTCTGCTACAAAGGAGAGGAAAGGGTACTTGTGCATTTTTTAATAGCTCAGGTAGAAAAAATATATATTGGCCTTAGATACAACATACTTTGGTTTGCGTTCGGGAGCTATTTCTGTTCCACCTTATATAATAAAATGTCTTGGGTGGGACCGGCTAAACTTTAGGCATGCTATAGGGAAGTGAAACATACTTCCTTCACACAGACATTGGGAAAGCTGCTTTTGACTACATTTCTACCAGCCTCCACTCAGCATGATCTTTGGCTAGGCTGGCTGAGAGATTCTGAGAGTTGTCCAAAGAAGCAGTTTTCCTGAGCTCTCCTTTAGGGCTGAGAAATGTGTGACCCAGAACAGTTTTGTGGCCACCAAAACCTGACTCCCAAATCTCCACAAACACCCCACTTAGAAATAAACATTTGGGGCATTATTTTGCCTTAAACAATCCAAAATTTAAGAAAGCTGTTCACAAATATGGCAGTTCAATTCCATTACCCCACTGAAACTCCTGAAAGTACTGATTCAGGGTGGGTGACCAGAAGTGATAAAAAATTTTGTGCCATGAAATGCTACAAATTTTGTTGGGGAGAGATTGTGGGGATGAAAATTGGATTGTGCCTGTGTACAATCCCCCCACCCTCCGTCTAGGTAAAGAGTACACATATCAGTGCCATATAGTTATTCAAGTCTATTTCAAATGGAAGTCGATGAACAGATCTTGAGTAGCCGCTCTGTGTTAGCAGGATTCTACAAATCCACACTCCAGTTTGCCAAGCTCAGTGTCACCCTCACTCAACACAAAGATCTTTCCTTCACTAGATGGTAGGAGGGTTGGTGGACTAATAATGGTATTTTTTCAACCTTTACAGCAGTGCATATGTCTTATAAAAAGAAAAAAGGTGTTTTTGTGTACTAATGGTAGAAAAATTAGAAAATATAATGTAACGTTACCGAAATGCAGCATTTCAGCACAGACCAATTTGATACCCTGCAGGTGCCACAGATCAGCTGAGGTGTCCATACTTAACCCTTTCAGATTCTTCTTTTTCAGTGGATGGTAAAATGTCCCACTTTCCTCCTCTCAGCCACAGTATTGTTTGCTTTTGTTGAGGTTCTGTGCTATCATTCACTGTAAACTGCCCTTGCAGCTATTTTACTCTTCTCCTCCCTCCTCCTTCATAGGCACATCTCCACATGCTCCTGACCAAAAAAGAAAGAGAGGGTATTGATGCCCCATTGATCTTAATGGAGGTCACCCCTCTGTGAATATTCAAAACTGCGGATCTCAAGTCTGCAAGAATGGAGGGGTGACTGTATTTGATATTTTAGCATTGAATTTGTTAATTATTGTAGTAATTTAATCCTATTTTAATGTACTATTTTTGTATGTTTTTAACTGTATGGTGTTTTTTAATGTTGTAAGGTGCCCTGAGTCCCAGTCCCAGATGATACAAAGTTTGGCTTAGCTTCAGTTCTGGTAATTTCAGAGGGAAGCCCACTTTACCATAGGAAGCTCCAGAAATGGTCTGAAACGGCTCAGTTAAGTTTTCAGCTTGTCTGAATCCAGTGCACTTTTGTACTATTCAATAGCATAACAGTGCACTATGCCTGTTCATGCATGTATGTGGTATATGTGCCTTCAAGTTGCCTGTTCACTTATGATGACCCCATGAATTTCATAGGGTTTCCTTAGGGAAGGAATAGACAGAGGTGTTTTTTTCAGTTCCTTTGTCTGAAATATAGCCTACAGCACAATTTTATTTCAGCATCTTCCTCTGAATATAGCCTACAGCATCATTTTTTGTCATCTCCCATCCAAGTATTGTCCTTGCTTAACTTCCAAGATCAGATAGGATCTGGTGCTTTTCATCCATACTGCTGCTTTTGTCACTAAAATGTGAAATAACTTCTTAGCCCACCACTCCAGAAAATTATATTCCAGGGAAAAAATTCAACACAACCAGGGCAGAGTACAACTTCTCTAGTCAAAATGTGTCTCCAATGCTTGAAAAAGGGGTGTTTTGGCTTCACTCAGGCCTACTGAAGCAAGCTAAACAAGCTATATGGTATCCTGTATTCTAAAGTCTGAAATAAGGGGTGGCTGAGCTTCTTATTGACTGTTTTAAAAATAAGCTGAGCTTTTTAATGTTCAGATTGCAAGCATAAGAAGCTTCAAAGGTCCCCCCCTCAAATATTCAGGAAACCTTAAAATCCTAATTTTTGGACACCACTCCCTGCCTGGATCCCCATTAATCAAGCCCCATAAGCCTGATTATTTCTCTTTTTTTGGCAGAGTGGATCTTGTGAGTTCTGGTGGCCTCAAAAAGAACATTTGGAGTTAAATGCAATCCATGGGGATAATTTTCCTCACCCCTATTGGCACTTTACCCCTGTTGTTGCTTCATGATATTATGTCGTGATTCAAGGACCCCAGATTGAATCTTGCATCTTGCCTGACCTCCCAAAAATATTTTATGAAAGTCCCTTTCCTGCATCTGTAAAATCCTGTGCAGGAAACTGTATTGTGAAACACCTTCTATACTTTAAAGTAGAAATATTGTCTTCTAGATGCTGTTTGCAACTCCCATCATCCCTTACAGGGTAGGGTTGTTGAAAGTTGAGGTCCAACATCTGAAGGGCCATATATTCTCACTGCCTGATCTAAAAATGTTGTATGTATATTTATTGTTGTTGTTGTTGTTACCATTAAAAAACCTTGTATAACTGTTCAAAGAATATTGTTGGGATAGTGCTCAAAGAAAAAAATATTGGACTGAACTTCTCTAAAGAGTATTGTGAATGCTCTGCTAGTGGTGAATAATGTCTGTTTGTAATATCTAATCACATCAAGTCTTATCCCTGGCCAGGACAACTGGCAAAAACTTATGTATAAACATTACCCCTCTCTTCTTGGCTGGAAATGACACTTTTTCTATTTCACAATATGAGCTTTGATTTGTTTTTAAAGTTGCTTAGAAGATTCTCCAGATTTTTATTTTCTTTTTTGAAAATCACACTGCTATATTTTGACAGGTGCAAATACTTACACTGCGTGATAGGATTATATACTTAAGGTTTTTTTTGGCTGGCATCTTGCATTGCAGTTACAGATTTGTCACCTAAATCTACAGATCCATAACTGCTGTGTATTCAGCTATGCTACGTATTTATGATTATAGCACTATTATCACTATCATAAATGTTCCCCTGAAACCCACCTTAAACTCCAGGGAGCCACTTTGAGTGACAGAGGTCTGCAACATGGTTAAATTGGGTACTTCAGGATGACACAGCTAGCCCCCTTCTGCCCCCAAGCCACATTGCAATGAGGAGATGCTGGAAGGGATTTGTCTGTTCATCCAGAAGTGCCCCACTCAACTGCACCCCACCTCCACTATTGGAGTGGCTCCCTGGAGTTCAAGGTGGGTTTCATAGGTGGATTTCTTAGATGCAGATGTTAATGTAGTTACAAACACAATGCAGGATCTCTGCCAACATTAGCAAAATGGCACATACATTTTTAACACATACTGTGTATGTACAGTTATCTTTGTCTCTCTTCCCCTCCCCCTTGCAAAAACCTCATTAAGAGGATAGTTATTTGGGATATGTCTTGGAATATAAAGTAGTAGTAATAAGAGATAGAGTGGTGCAGTGGTTTGAGCATTGGACTGTGACTTGAAACCAGGGCTCAAATCCCTGCTTGGCCATGGAAACCCACTGGATGAGTTTGGGCAAGTCACACTCTCTCAGCCTCAGAGAAATGCAAAGACAACCCCCCCCAATAAATTTTGCCAAGAAAACCATGTGATAGGGTCACCATAGGGTCTCCAGAAGTCAGAAGCAACTTGAAGGCGCTCAACAACATCAACTTGGAACATAAGCATATTTATTAGGATGCATCCTAAGAGGCTTTTAAGTAAGACAGACATACATCTAGATTTAATTAAAGCTTGTTGTACCTGTTTTTGAAAAAACTAGAGGAGATTGCTTGGTGCCACTAACATTGAAACTATTTGAGGAAAAGGTCTTAGAAGAAATTGTTTACGAGGCAGAGGTTTAGGAATTGGGTTTTTTAAAAAAGAGAAAACTTGCAATTTATATTGAATAAAATGTCTAAGATTTTCTTTTAGCGCATAGGTTGGCAACATGTGATCAACTAGTACTTACCTAAATTTTGTAATATGGAACAGAGGACAGGTGGTTAGGCTGTTTTCTGTTTTGAAAGGTTGGTCCATTTCTTTTTCTCATTGGCTTCTTTCCATTCAATTGACTCAAAAGGCCTAAACTGAATATTCTCCAAGGACTCTCATAAAGATGTGTGAATTATTCATCAAACATGATATAGAAGGTGGTGTCATCTTTGTAAGTGTGAAAGATTTTTCTCTCATTTATTTTAATTCCTTGACTCATTTTGACTCAAGGACAACATTTTCATACCACAGCTTTATATCTGAATTTGTGGTATACAAGTATTTCCATATTTCATCTTCTTTGTACAGTGGGACGTCGGTATCCATGGACTTGCCATCTGTGGATTTGAGCATCTGTGGATGGCAAGCTTGCTTTGTCCTCAATGGCAGTGTGTGAATGTACCTGTGCTGCCATTAGGGACAGTCCCCATTGTCCCAAGTGGCAGTGTGTGCACGCGGATGCGCCGCCATTAGAAACACCAGGACTTCACCTGAAGCCCAGTTGTCCCTAATGGCAGTGTGGCCGCATGCATACCATTGGGGACTACCATTGGGGACAACGTCGGCTTGAGCATCCATGGATTTTGGTATCCCGGGGTGTGTGTGTCCAGAATGGATCCCCCACAGATACCGAGGTCCCACTGTATATGTGGAACGCCACAATTTGATGATAGTGTTCATAACATATTTTTCTATAATTTGAATGCTGATCGCTTGATGCTGACCTGTTGAAAAGAATATCTGATAAATTTCTAGTGCAGCAACCATATAAATCAACTACAGATAGAGAACTATGTCAGTATTTATATAAAACTATATTTGGCTGTCAAAAAGATTAGAAGAAAAAAGATTTTGAATCTTTTCTATGAGTTGAACACATGATCTGATCAGTATATTTAACTTTTATCTTTTTCTTTAAATATTTTCTTTAAATATTTTAAAAAAATATGAATATGTTACCTTTTGGATAACATTTGTAAGAACAACCTCTTTGGTTGAGTGTATTCAAACTATATTCTTGCTCTCTCTCTCTTATGCTTCCCTTTATGCCTGGAACACTCTCTTCCCATTCATATACAGCAGAGGTGGGCAAGTGTGGTTTTCAAACCCTTTTGGTGCCCCCCGTATCCCACTGAAATCTCCAAAGCCCCAAGAGTAGGTTTTTGCATGATAAATTGCCCCTAACTGCTAGGAATGGTATTTTGGCTTGATATGTTCCCCAACAGCTGAAAAAGACAGGAGCCAGGAATGACAGCTTCCAATCACTTCTTAAGTTACATTTTCAGCTAAAAAGAGCAAAAGCCATGGGGGAGCA